CCTGGAACAAGAGAAATGGGGTCTGGAGCCCATACGGGTCCCAGTTTGGACGTGGGGCACCTCTCTACCAGCACTCCAGCTTTGGCCAGTCTCAAGCACTAGAGAACATTTAGAAAATTATGTAAAGCAGATTCTCCAAAGTGTGGGGCCCTGAGCCGCAAGGGCCAATGCAGGGTGATACTGCTTTTCTACCATCTGAAAAATTCTGTGTTGTTTTGCCCTAGGGACCGTGCACCTGTGTATTTTTATCTCAGCCCCACCGAATTCTCAGGGCTGTTGTGAATTGATCTCCAGGTAGACCATGAGTGTGCAAGAGCTTCACAGGCCATGGAGGATCTAGTATCTGGAGGTGACTGCCCTCCCCTGCCCCCCCAGTGTTAACCTCAGCCTCAGTCTCCATCTGGGATGGGAAGGCTGGTATACAGCTGTGCGTTTAATGGGCTTTGGGGTAACCTGGAGCCAGGTGCACGAGTTTCTACTAAATGACTAAGCTTCCAGGCCCTGGGTTCTGCCGTCAGCTGTGAAGTCCTCGGTAGAATCTATACTTGGGCCCCGATCCCCGCTGAGCTACCCACTGTGGCCTGGGGTCAGCTCCTTGCTTTTCTTTAGGCTAAGTCTCCGTATCTGTACAATTAAGGGGTCAGACTCCATGATGTCTCCAGCCCTTCCCCTGACCTAGCAGGATTCTAGAATTTAGGGCATTCCCTCACCACTAAGCAGATACTCCTGGAAGGTGGCCCCGGAAGTTATTTGGAATTCTTTCCCTCAGCCAGCTTCCCTTCCTCAGACTGGCTTTTCAGATGCCCTAGGAACTGGACATGGAAGATGATGCTTTAATTACTTAAAGGGCTTCATCACTAAGAGAAAGGAGTGAGTCTCCTGTCACTGGAGGTGTGTAAGTGAGTGTTGAGCACTATTTGATGGGGCCCCGAGCACAGGAAGGGGAGTCGATTCTCTGTAATTCCTTCCAGCCCTGGAGCCTGGGATTCCCTGGGTCTGGATAGGGCGGTGGAGGTGGGGCGGGCAGGTCTGGGTGGGGACTCCAGAGAGGAGGAAGGGGCATCCTTTCATTTGACAAACATGACTCTTAGTGAGATGGGGTCCCTGCCCTAAAAGAGCTCATAGTCAGAGTCATGTTGGCTGAGAAGTGCTGAGGGAGACTAGTGTCAGGGAGTCTGGGGGAGGAGTTCTCCAAATCAGGTGGGGAACCTCTTGGGGAAGGCGAAGGC